GCCTTCCTCAGTAGTTGATGTTAACAGAGATACCAAAGGATTATTCTGCTATTAATCTGCAGGTAATAGAAGGCCCATTTCTTAAGTACACACAGAAAAGGAGAAGAAGAAATACTGGCTATGACACAAAATGAATTGTCTTTCTCCATGCCCTTGTAACCTAGGGCATGTAGTGCAGGCTGCCAGCCACTGTGTTACAAATTTAAAAGTGCTGGAATCTCTCAGCTCTTTAGCAGGTTGCCTGATGGATTGGTGAGTAATGTACTTGAAGTGTGCATTACTAAGCCCTAGACTAATGGCTAGCTCTTGCCCATGGCTTTTGCTACAGATCATTCATCGTAGCATTCATAAGCTCTGCCAGTCTGTGTCTGGTCCTTGTGCTACTGCTGCTAATGCCATTCGCCTGATGAACTCTGCATGAACATCCCCTGCATTTTCAGAACACGAGTAGTAAACAAAAGCACAGAGTGACATTTCTCCAGAAGTTCTCATGCTCCTTTGGAGGAGGTGGGTAAGGTGATGAACATGATACTCATTCACTCAGCATTACTCAGACTGTGGCACATGAAAAAACACGTAGGGTTTTTGCACTGTTGTGCCTAGATGTAGTTATCAAGGCTTCACAGTTGTGTGAGCTAAATGAGGTCCCAGCTTCAGAGCGAAGAGCATCTCTTGGGCTGGCTTCTGGTCTGGCTTTGGTGGACAGAGCAGATACGTGCAGAAGTCTTATGAATAAGTTGACCTTCCTGCAGTTCCCACCACACTTTGAAAGTTTTCTTCTTTCTACTTCACCATACTGATGGGACTCCTGGTTTACTGCCCAGGAGCTGCGGCTGAGTCAAGGTGGATCCCTCCCAGCTCCTTTCACTTGGACCACAGCACAGCCATGGGAAATAGAAATCCACTCAGCCCCCAGCGTGGTCTGGTGACCCAGCCTGCTTGCACGTGTTTGTGCTATCCAGGACTCTTTCTGCTTCCTGAGTCCAGTCTGGTAGCTTTGGTGGTAAAGGCTTAGGCCTTACTATGACATTCTGTGCTCTTTTGTTTTGTGCTTTTGCTTATTATTTAAAAATAAACTTACAATTCTTTATTAGCATATTCCTAATGAACTTATGGAAGGGATTAAGCCTTCAACCTAAAGAATTTCCTCTACAGCTGTCATAGTAAACATCGCTGCTGAAAACTGCACATCAGAAACAAAATTGTGAAGGGAAAATTGTTGAATAGACAGAAAGCTACAGAACTAAAAATAGCAAACTGAGCAAGAAGCAATTTAAATTTTCTAATTTATTCCACATGTAGGAATGTTGGGTATTTTGAGGGGTTAGCTGCATTGTATCAGTGTATTCGTGGTGCTAGGTATTTTATTCTTGTAAAGAATGACCTGTTTTTGCAAGGGCTCTTTTTGTTTGTGCATTTTAATACAGCTTGAGCACCTTTTCGTTGCCCCAAGCAGGAAGTGAATTCTGGTTCTTTGTAATATTCACATTAACAACAAGATCTCAGTATTTTGCACACAGAAATAGGTGGAGGATGTGAAAGGTTGCAGAGAAAAACAATGATGCTGGAAAAAAAAAAGAGCACACCATAAAAAAAAATTCCCAGTGAGTATTGTCAGTTTATTTGCATGATCTTTTAGGAGATGTTTCTGGTAATAAAGCATCATCAGTCTATGATTTCTCTTGACCAGTCTTTCTCAACCCCCTATAGAAAATCTTACAATTTAACTGAGAATATCTGCTTGTTTCTCATCTTCCAGTTTGAGTTTTCATTCTTTAACAAGCACAACAGCATGCTGCTCTATCTTCAAAGAGGAAATTAATTCCGTCCGCAAAAGGGTCAAGTGCTAGAAAGTGCATAGCAATGCAGTTTGCATGGCAGGATCCAGGAGATATGATGCTAATAAGATTCTAAGATGAGAACAGCAGACTGGCTCTAGGGATTCAGATGAAGGGTTCTGTAAATTTTAAAAGAAATGGTCTCCAAAAACTAATGATGTCTGCTTTCCAATTCATTAATAATGTGGAGCAGGGAGATGGGAGTGAGAAGCAGGCCATGCTTTGAAATATCAAAATCTAACGAGGAAAAAAAACAGTGAGAGCTCATCTCATTGGGGTCATAAAGCTGGGAGGGATAGGCAGGCTGCAGGGGAACACAGTGTCAGCGCCTGGAGGGAAAGAAATGTTCTGCTGTGCGTAATTTATGCACAGACTCTTTGGCAACGTTATGTGAAAGTTCCGTGCTGAAAAAGATGTTGCTGTATTGACAGAGCTTTCTCCGTGTTCTTGTTTAAGGTGACTTACTACGCAGATGTCTGATGGATTTAAACAATGCCTCTGAATTGCTTTAGCATATTTACAAATGGCTCTTGGTAAACCTTCCCCTTCACCTTTTTGCATTGCATGCACGAAACTGAGTAACAAGAACCTGAACCTTGTTTGTAGTTAATAGTGGAAGAAAACCCCTCAGGCAAAGCCTAATGAACCAAGAGCAATTCTGAGCTTTCCTCCACAGTATCTGGAGAGACTGCGCCTTTCCAAGGGCTGCCTGGACACATCGTGTGACCTTGCTGCTTTACATCATTAAAATTTCCCATTACTGGCACAGTGTTTGTATGGAGGTGCTATTGTGCAGATATTATGCTGGAGTCTCTCCCTTATGCATGCAGAGTCTGCAGCTAATAGAAAATGTCTGTGCTTGAACAGCTCTGAGAGTGGGAAGGTGTGCGGGAGGAGGATTTGCTCTGACTTTTATTTTGACAAAGCCGTTATGACTTGCAGAGTGAGGTTAAGGTTTTCCTCCGATCTTCTCATTTTGTCGGTGCGATATTTTCTCATCTCACCTCTAAACCACCCCCCCCCCCCCCCCCCCCCGCCGTTGGCGCTCTGGGAGTGGGCTGGGACTCGTGGCCTTGCCGCCATCTCCCGCTCCTTCAGCCACTTGCGCTGGAGCAGCTGCGCAGCGCTGGGCCTTACTGGGCCCTTCCCAGGAGTGGGGTGGGCATTTGGGCACGGGGTGCTGCCTGCAGCCTGCAGAGCTGCTGCTGCCCACAGCTGCTCCCTCACGATGCAGGGCTGCCGGGGGCGCTGCCGCAGCAGGACCCAGCTCCTCATCCTGGGCACTCAGCTTGGCCCGGGGGTCTGATAACGTGTTGGTAAGACTGGCATCTTTTGTTGCTGCAATGTGTTTCCCTGCAGCTTTTTTTCCTGTGATCTGTCTTCATGTTCTCCGGGTCCCCTCTGTTTCCTTTCACTCGAGTCATGTTATCTCAGCAGCAAGTCATTCTCCAGACAAGTGATTTCTCTCAGGTGCACAAGCAAGACTCAGAGCAGCATTTAATAAGTGGCAGTTTGTGCTGGGGTGCTGTCTGCTCAGAAGCACTGTCATCACGAGGGCTGAGCTGCAGGGCCAGCGGCACGACCGAGCGCTGGGCTCTGTGGGCAGTGTCTGAGAGCAGCTCTAGGCCTGGCCCGAGACTGAGCCGAGCTTTGTTCTCTTGCTAAAGCAATAGCCATGGAAATGGAGAAGTGGGGTCTGAAACCGTGTTTGTGGTCAGCAACACTTTGCACCTTTTCATCCAGGTACCCTGAAGTCTTCAGTGTGGACAGGTACGCCCCAGTTGTCCCTAGAGCGAGCCATCAATACACTGTCACTAATTTCAAAAGCCACGGACCCCACCTTCATTTTTTTCCTGCATACTCACGGTCTCCAGTGAGCGTAAATCAGCCTTCACAGGCCTCTCCAGGAACTGTGTGGATGATACAGCCATGTGTATCAAATCTTCCCCTTCCCTCATGTTTGTGTCTCAAATGCTTCCTTGGAGAAGAGATGGGAATTTGTTTCCTCAGGAAATCTCAAGATAGACTGATAACAATTTTCTTGAAGGTTTTCCAGTGATGTTTCTGCTTGTTATTCATTCTCTCAGCACAGGGTTACAGAACGACTTGCCTGCAGTCACAGCCACTCAGTGCAGCAGACGAGTTCACAGCTGCTTCCGTGGAGACACAGTTGTATAATCAGGATTGTCTTATGGCACTGGTAATGATATGAAAAGCAGCTGGTTTATGGAGATCTTTTATGGAGATCTTTTTCACTGGTGTTCTTAACCAAGACACTTAGCCAAATGAGTTGATTTTAGTCAATCTTTTTGTTTTCCAGCAGAAATCATGCTGGCTTAGAGCTCAATAGTGACATGGCCATAGCTGCCAGGACAATGGCAGTACTTTTCCTCAGGTCTTTGCTTGAAGTGAAAGGGAAATGATACAGCATTTCAGTGCAAAATACATAGACTTCATAAACCCAAATTTCCTAAGTTCTTTGCCAAAGCTAGACTGACTGATGTGTGATAGGCATCTCAGCCCACTAAAATCATGCATTCCTTTTCGATTTGCATCAGTTTCCTGTTGACTGCTTTTTCCAAACCTTTATCTGAAAGATGAAATAAGTACTAGTTTGTTGTTGTTTTTGTTGTTGTTGTTGGAGGAGAAGAAAAAAAGGCCAAGAAGTTTTCTGTCTTCAAAATCTAAAGCTTCTGTTTCAAACTGAGAGCTTACTGCTGGACACATTTCCTAGCCTTCCTGAGTAACAAACACCAAGCTGCAAGATCCTAAAGACAGGCAAAATGAGACATCTAAATTTCTGCAAATCTTTGAGCAAGACAAATTCTATAATTGCATCATCCAGGTTTGAAACAGCCCAGGGCATCCTTTTGAAATGCAGAAGGAAGCCCTAGAAGCTAGTGAGCTCTCTACTATTCTGTGTTTTGCACTCAAACTTGCTGTCCAGGTATGAAGCCCAGCTCTTTGTCCATCCCTGTGCTATAGTTTCCACTGCAGCACGCTAGCTTTGCTTTTGCATTATTGGTTAAGTTTGCATGCATTTCTTGAGCTTGCAGCAGACAGTGTAGATAGACAGTGTAATATTGCAAATATTACCTGTGATGTAACTGTCCCATAGCAGGCTCCTTATAGAGAGCTGCAATTGTATTTCTTATCTTGCAGCTCCTCTTTCCAGTCTGAAAGCTCTCATGGAAGAATAACCCTCAGCATCCTCAGCAGAACTGTTCTGAGCATTTTTAAATGGCTATTGGGTGACAGAAAAGCATGGCTAGAAGAGGCACATGAGAACCTGTTAGCTGTCGATCCTGCTGTCCTCAGGTATGCCATTCCTGACAGGTGCGGTCATAGTGGGGGCATCCAAGGATGGAGGCCTCACAAATCTGCAGCCTGAGACGATGAATTCTAGTTCTAACTATCCTTTCCACTAAAAAGTTTTTCTTAACCTCCTACCTAATGTAATTTAAGACCATAGCTATTTGTGCTTGCAGCCTGTAGAAAGCCAGGAGAGTATGTTAGTTGTTAACTGTCTCCTTGTTGTTTTCAGGTACTTAGAAATTGTTTAGTTACTGGTTTTCCAAAAGTTGGAACTTAGCTGGCTGATCTATAATTTTCTGACTTGTTTTCCTCTACTTCTTCATCATAGCCAGGCACTGTTTGCTGTTTGTCAGTCTTCCAATAGCTCATGAGGTCTTAAATGCATTGAAACTGCTTTAGGCAATTCTTTACATACTCTATACTGGGACTCCTTAGATCCAGATACTTCGAAAGTATCAAACTGTATTCTGCTCCTGTTTGAGTCTGAAATCCTGCATCTCTGTACTTGGTAGCAACTATGATAGCCCTCTGCATGCTGTTAACCTTAAAAGATCAACAGGAACAAAACGCTATGAAGGACCTGTCTTCTTGGCATCACATTTCAATAGCTGTACCCTTCTGTTGAGGGGAAAGCCAACGCTTTTCTTAGTTTTTCCGGTGAAAACATCCACGCTACTTTTCATTTCCTCTGTTGGTTGAACCTCATGTTGTGTCTTCCTACATGACATGACTTTGTGTAGGAAGTCATGCTTCAGAGTCCCCAACGCGTGGACTGACTGCACACTGCCACAGCCCCTTTGCCATGGGGGAGAGGCACAGGTCTCCACAGAGGCCAAACAGCAGTGACATCTTGACTGGCCGAGTGACCCAGGCCCATCTGGGGGTGCAGATGCCGCAGCGACAAGCTCTGCTGCAGATCTGAGATAGGCTGTGGCTTCCAAAGCAGGACTCTGTTCTTATGACAGATACCCAAAGGCAGATTTTCTTTTAATTAAATATGAAAATCTATAATGCAGTCAGCATGGTGCCTCTTGTTTATTTTTATACCCCATTTATTTGCTTTTGTTCTCAACATATGCTTTCATCATGAGGGAGACTTTTATACTGACCATCTGTGCATTATGAATGAATTTCAGTTAAAACTGGAGGATGTGGGGAGCAGGACAGAGGTCGGTTGTGTTTTTTAATATCTGCATGCAAATGGGTGTCTTCCACAGATGTGGAATGAACAGAGTCTAAACTTTTTTTTCAAATAACACTGAAATTGCAAAGTTGACACTTTTTAACTGTTGTCTTTAGGTTTCAGGATTAACAGGCTTTTGAGATTAGTTTAGTTATACTTGTTTAGTTATCATTGCATTTTCTGTTTTTACACGCAGAAAATATTTATTGTTCAGTAATATTCTGCCTATATCTCAACTTTTCTCTCTGCAGCCAAAGGGCAAAAAACGTCTAATTTTCCCAGCACTGAAGGTGATGGCATTTGTGCGTGTGACTGTAACTGCAGTTCTGCATTCAGTCTATGTCCAAGTCTCAGGGAATGGATTAGGTATCACCAGGCAGAGCTTTGTGGATGTCAAGGAAACAAGAAAGGAACTTGTCAAAGCGTGGCTGTCACAGTTACCCAGATCTGCCCTTGACTGAAGGGCTGTTACTCTCTCTGGTCTTTGCTTTGCACTGCCTGACCTCTTGGCATGGTTTGAAACGACAAAGCATCCTGTGTGCACTTTACTGCCGAGTGTGTCAGAAGCAAGCCCTAAAGTGTCCACTGATAGCACACAGTGGTGGAAGAACTCAGTGCCTCTGCACCCTTTCAAGGAAACTGCTATCCACCAGCTCTCTGCTATGGGGCAGACTTAGGGGCACCTGGAAACCAAGCAGAGCAGCGCCAGCAGTGTGGGCAGCTGCACTGTTTGGTCCTGCGGTGGCCAGAGCTCTGCAGAGGCTGCTGCTTGCCAGAACCGCTGCAGGAATCTCTCTATGTGTAGTGACAAGCTTGTAATGCCTCTGCGTTTCTCAGCTTTTACTCCTCCTTCCTCTTTGCCTTGTTATTTTTCCTTTTGACCACTTTTCTATGCTCTTAGGTCAAGGGTTTGCCCTTTGGAAAGAAAAAGCTTAGCTGAAAATTAAGAGGTTTAATCAAAGCTTCTCCAGACAGCATGAACAATCAGCAAACATCGAACTGGAGAAAATGAAAGGCCATTCAGATGGGAATGGAAGGGGCCCACAGAACTCCCTTAACAAAGGATCTGGTGCCATTTCCACCATCCCACGTGCCACACTCATTACTGCAGAGGTTGAGGGTGAAGCCTGGGAGGTGGACAGCAGTGGGGCAACAGTAGAAGCAAGCAGCAGTTGCTTTTCAATACCAGCACAGTTTGTGACATGTCCAGAGGTTGCAGGAGCTCAGGGAAGGCTGGGGCAGATGTGCTCTGTTTACTGCAGAGGCAGTATAGTTCTTTTGCAAGAACTGTACTAAATTCCTCCATAACAAAGAGTGTGTGTGCTTCCTGTCCTTTCACATGCCATTTGGCTGCATGGCATCATTTGCCCCGCTCAAAGCACATCAATGCTTGGCATAAAGGTACAACCAATAGCAAGAGAGTTCTCTATTTTAAAGAAGCATGTTTTCTGTCTCATCAGCCAGATACCAGAGCTATTATCTGCTAAGCCTAGATGACCTCCTCGCCCTTCGGCCGCTGCCACAGCACTCCCTTGCCTGTGACTGCAGAGGTACAACCAGGATTTGCTGCTCCACGCTTTGGGTGGTGCCTTCTACAGAAATGTGTGCTACCTGCCTGCGGCCCCCAGGCACAGTGGGCACAGGTTTATTTTGGATGTCTGTGTGCAGCGTTGAGACAGCCGGTAGTAGCCTGTGCTTAACTTGGAGTGTCAGTTGTCTACATGCAGAAGACCCCAGAGGCCGTTTCAAGTTCCTGTGCTCAGCAAAATGCACTGTCAACAGTGCTGTGCACACATGGCAGTGAGCAGGATAGAACAGGCACACGCAGGGATCTTCTGGACTCGAGCTGCTTTTTTGGAAACTGTTCACCTCTGCCCCATTTGTTACTGTGCTTTTCCTGGTAGGGCAGTGCTCTTGGTGCACACTGGTTTTTGCTTGGACGAGGAAGGATTGTGGGTGCTGAGCTCCTGTCATATAGTTCCTCTGCTGGTGCTGGTGTTTTGCAGCAGTAAGAGCTGTAAGGCAGAGACAATGAGCTCAGGCGTTCTGTCTGAGGAGAGTTTGGGTGGGGGGAGTGGGAAAAAGGCTGTTAGATCTATTGCGGGCAATTTAGATTCAGAGACATTTCATCTGCAGTTCCCTCAAGTGTTGAATTGAATAAAACCAGCAACAGCAGTGGAAGAGGAGGTGGGGGAAGGGCTCTGAGCACTCCCAGCTAAACAAAAAGAGACAGCTCGTAAAAAACAAAACAAAACAAAACAAAAACAGAATTGCATCCTTGGGCTGAAAACACAGGTCCACAAGGAAGGAAGGAAGGGAGGAAGACACGTGGCAGAACCCACTGGGCAGACAGGGAAGGCCCTGGGCTGGCACTGCGGGCAACTCCCACTGATCCTGAGCAGCTCGAGGGGTTTACTCCTGGATTTGGGGATTTTCTGAGAGCGTCTGGAAGCTCCAGCCATGGAATCGAGCAGGAAGAAGAGGGTTCATTTGTTGTTCAAAAGGTAAATAAAATCTAATTCACCTTGTAGTGCTGCAGGAGAAAATTGTGAAAGTGAAAACCTGAAAAAGGATTAAAATTCAAAAGACAAAGTAACATAGCACTTACACTGATGTTTTAGGAGCTACTGAGAGTTCCCAAATGATGCCATTGGATGACTGCTCTGCCCTCAGCGTTAGCTATTCCAGTTCATTGCCTTTGCAAAGGGAGCTGTGGCTGGCTTTCATTTCTGGGCATGCATTGCAGCATTTGTTTCTCTGGTTCTGCCTGTCCTTCCCCAGGCTCAGTTGAGGGCTATTTCACACAGCCACTGAACCCAGTGAGGCTGGGAGCAGTGTGCATGTATTTGGAAGAATAAAAATACAGCAAAAAATCAGCTGCTGGGGGGTCTGCCTTGTGAGAGTATGATTACGCTGCTTTGATGGTGCTGATTCCAATTTCTTAATTCACAAGGAAGCAGCAGTGTCTCCGGGCTGCTCTGTAAACTTGCCTCTCAATATCAGTGGCATTGAACTGTGATGCTCTGCTGGCAGCACAGCCCACTGCTGGCTGCACCCCTCTTTGCTGCAGCTTTCCAGATGTCTCCCAGCTGCAGGGATGCGTGCCCCTCAGGCAGAGATGTGGTTTTGCTGCCAGACACAGCCCTTGCACCAGCTGCATGCCTCCAGCTGCCCAGCTGGGAGGGAAGGGCTGCTCCACAGCAGGGGAGGACCAGCCGTGCTTCTCCGCACTGCCCAGGCTTTGTTTCAGTTTGTGCTCCTTCTCAGCAAGGTCTCTTTGGTGGTTTTTTTTCCCTGCTCAGGCATCCTGCTCCACCCAGACAGCCTGCTAGGCTCTGCAGGTACAAGCCAGGCACTCCAAAGCAGCCAGCTCTGGCTGTCACTCCCATCCTCCAGTAAGCGTCATGTTAGCTATATGGGGAGCAAGGCTTCTGTGAGGGTGCTGCCTTTTTGTTTCATCAGGTGCTGCAGTGATTTAATCCAATATACAGAAAACCTCCATCTGGCCAGGCCAGCACGGCGGTTTTATAAATGCTTACGCAGCAGCAGCACAGCTGTCAGTACCTATTCAGGCACAAGGCAGAGCTTTAACATGTGTTTACTAGTATGTTCTTACTAACGTGTCCTAAGCTCTCCTGTTACCAGCTATGGACACGGCATGTGAGCAAGATGACAGTCCTGAATGGCCTCAGGTGCTCGTGAGCCACAACTCGCTGCAGGTCAGCGCGATGCAGCCTTTGTTAGCTTCACCTCACCCACTGCGAGCCTCTGCTGCGTGGGGTGCACGAATACCTGCCTGGGAGTCCCACAGGAATACAGCACAATGTCAGGAACTGGTCTGTGGCAATAACGGGAGGTAGCAATAGGTCTGCTGGTGCTGGGGCAGCTGCGCACACTGCTCAGTGGTGGACCAGCATACAGATGGGTGCTGGTATGCAGCAGCAGGGAGGGCACATGGAAGGAGACAGCCAGCTGGCCCCGCTCTCCACACTGCAAAAGCCCTTTAGATGAATGCAGAGGAGATCAGCCCCCAGAGCTGACATCTGACCAGCACTGACACCTGAGGTACACCTGGATTGCTTGTGCTGGCTCCCAAAACCGTGTGGGCTGTGAGTTGGTCCAGCGCTGTGCCATACATTAAAATGTCCTCTGGCTTTGCTGCTGTTCATGCAGAAGTGCATGCAAAAAACAAAAGTGAGAACAGAATGAGGGGTCAAGGACTCCTCAGGTCAGGCCCCAATACCTGGTTGTTTGGGTCATCCTATCCATAATACAGGGGACTTGATGCTGGTCAGTGTCCCAAGGCTTTGGGAGCCTGATTAGCTACCATTTGTAAAAGGCTGAAGAAGTCTTACCATGAATCTAGGACCAAAGAGCAGAGAAAATGGGAGGCTGGCTTATGGGCATGTATTATGCTGCTCTGACTTTCTTTTGGTGTTATCGATCGAGCTTCTTGCTAAGATACAGCCTTGCCTGCTGTAGTGGTTTAATTCATTTTTAAGCATCATTATTTTTCATGTTGTGGTCTCCCCTTGCTTGGGGTGCCTCTCATCGCCCATCCCCAAAAACGTCCATTCCTGTCTGTGTTTCAAGGCACGCGCTGCTCCCACATGTGTGTGTGTGCACACCAGGGAGATGGAGAGGCAGCTTCAGCTACGCTAAGCAATTAAACTCCGGTAGCTCAGGGATGAGCAGGAGGCCGTGATTTTCTTTTCCTTTGCAGTAATTGCCTCTGCAATCAGCTTTGATCACCCGAGAGCAGGGGAGATGAGTGCTGCAAGTTGACATCAGTGGTTTTAATATATCCATTTACATATACAGGAGCAGTGCAGCATACAGCTTTCCATAGTGCCTCTGACCTGAAACCATCGCTGCTCCATAGACACCTCATTTAATTTAATACTTCACCGCCACTGCGGAAGCCACAGGATGGGGATGGGAGGGGGGATAATCAAGCCCTCACTCTCTTGCTCTCTGTGAATGTCTGTAGAAATGACATGAAAGTAATTGCTTTTGAAAAGCAAAGCAGAAATGGCACAACTGATTCCACTTAAATGAGAGGAGAAGGAGTGGGGGCGGGAGACGTTCTCCCTACCCATGCCACCTCCTGCCTGCTGCAAGCACAGCCCTCTGTGGGTCTGTGTGGGGCCGAAGGAAGGGTGAGCTTGGCTCCAAGGGGAGTGGGTGAGGGAGGTGAGCTCACACAGGCAGCATTGCTTTGAGCTGGATGCATCCCTTCAGTTACCTCAGACCCATAGGTGGATGCTGCTTCATGTAGTTGTGTGACATCTGTTGTTGCAGTCATTTCTGCTCCTTGAAGGCTGATAGAGAGCCTCATGACATTGAGCATCCAGGAATTATTCTGCCTCCTGAACACGCTCACCTGCCTTGCAGCTGGCAGGGGCTGTTTCTCCTGCATGCTATGCTGTACATTAAAATGTCCCCTGGCTTTGCTGGTGCTCATGCAGAAGTGCATGCGAAAAACAAAAGTGAGAACAGAATGAGGAGTCAAGGACTCCTCAGGTCAGGCCCCAGTACTTGTCAGCTCCTCTCCGTCTCCAGCCCATCTAACATTGGCTGTGTGGGTAAAGCTTTAGGACTGTGAGCAGCTATGGAAAGCATCCCATGTTCAACACAAAGGTGTCCTTTACTGTTGCAGAGTACAGGCACAGAAACACATGTGCACACACTTAAATCCACTCAGAATTTAAATGCTTCCTTTGTTTTGTTGGTGCGCATCATGCTGGACAGCTGTAACCTTTCTCACTGTGGGGCTGAGTGGTTTACACGCATACAAAGTATGGCTTGGAGGAATGCGGGCGACTGCGCTGATAACAGTCTCCAATATGACTTTAATGTAGACATTAAAATCATTTAATGTTAATTAAATGCAAACTGATTACTAATATATTTACTGAATGCTGACAGCTACGTGACAGTCTTCAATAAATATATTTTACTGATCAGTTAGCATTTAATTAATATTGAAATTCTTTCTAGGTTTAGTGAACAATAATTAGGGCCCTCAGTGGCTGTGTCTGTTGTGGGGTACCCTCGGTGCTGGCAGAGCCCCCCTTGCCCGGCAGCAATGAGGGCACAGGCAGCAGGGCCAGCAGAAGGCACGGAGAGCTGAGGCAGCGCGGCTCAGTGCAGTACAATGGGCCCGCAGAGCTCGGGGTGCTCCTCCTGCCCAGGCTGCTTGCAGACCAGGCTTGGCAAGAAGATGTGGTGCTGTGCCTCGCACATTACCTCATCCTCATGATCCTGTAGATGCAGTGTCTTTTTCCCCAGAAAGCTCAGCTGCTTCCTGCAGCCCATGAGAAGTGAAAGCAGCGTGCTTTTCACCTGCAGCAACAGCTCTGCAGCATGTTGGGGCCCTTTTTCATGGCCAGGCGTGGCATAGCCTCCACCAGCAGCACCAAGCAAACCAGTTCTCAGGCCACGTGGGCACTGTTTTCTCTTGCCTCCCTGCTGTGAGCAGGGCAGGAGCCATGCGGTGCCCTTGCTGTGCTCCGTGCACCACCATGTGTGGAGAGGAGCAGTGCCTCGGAGGCAGCGGTCAGTGTCCGGGGAGCTGCTCTGCCACAGGGCCACAGCAGCACCGCCAGCTCTGGAGGATCAATATCTGCATCTTGTCATGCTAATTGCATTTTGCTTGACACTCCTGATTCTTTCCCTCTCCCTCCTGGTGTGAACTCTCTGCAGCTAGAATGCCGAGAATTGGGAATGCCAAGAAATGAGAACACCAAGCCCTCTGAGCCCACTGCTATTGCAGCAGGACAGGAGGGCCAGGCCAGCCACAGGCACTGCACTCCCTTCTTCTTTGATCACACAGGAAATGCCTGGAGGGGCCTTCAGCACAGGGCAGAGCCTGGAGTCGAAGCACAGGGCTGGACCAGGCACTGGTTATTAAGCCATCAGTTATAACTTTGGGTGTGCTCAGTTGCTCTGTGCCTTCCTGGCCCGGAGCACCGGACACAACCCCCCATGTCCAAGGAGGAGGCACCCTGTGTAGCTGTCTCCCAGCCTTCCTGGGCCATATCCCTGCTGCCACAGGCGTGCACCCGGATCATAACTACCATATTGGCTTCCTGTCCCCAGAACATCAGGTTTTTGCAGCTGGTGTGCGGGGGGGGGGGGTGTCTCCTCCCGACAATCCCCACCCCCAGCAGCATCAGGCCTGTGCTGTTCAGGGTTTTGTTAAGCCGTTTAGTATTAATTGATTTTTTTTTCCATTTTTTCTTTCTTTCCCTGGGCGGGTCAATAGCTGGATGCTCAAGAGCAGAGGATCTATCAACTGCAGACCAAGCAGAGGCAGAGGCAGAGGCAGGCAGAACCGGAGCAGTAATGCAGCCAGATCCAGCAGCTCAGCCAGGAGCTGGAGGCCACCACCAGCTGCAGGAGGAAGCTTGGATGCAGGTAGGAGAAGATGCCAGCATGGTCTGGCTCGGCAGGCCAGTATTGGAACTCTATTTAATACATTCACAGCAGTGGTAATAATCTGCTGCTCCTGTCTAAATGACAGCATAACAAAGGGCTAAAGATGCAAAAGTGGAGTCTGTCAACTCACAGTGAGGAGGGAAAGTCCTGGGAACTGGGGAGACGGCTGCAGCTCTGCTGTCTGTGAATAGGTGCTTGGGCTGCACTTGACTGGAGATGTGACTGCTGTAATGCACAGATGTCCTGCATGCTAATCCTGCTGCTCACCTCCTGAGAGAGAAGGGGAGAGGGCAGCTGGTAGGAAGCTGGAGGAAGACCACACCTCGCAGGACATGCTGCCCAGCTATGTAACAGTGATGTGTGTGAGCCAGGACAGAGGCTTGGGTAGCTGAAATCCTGAGTTTGCTCCAGGACAAGCAGACATTTGCAATGGGAGCTGCTCTGCAGACCTGACAGAAGGCCTGCAGGGCAGTGTTTGTGTCTGTCATCTCTGTGCCATTGTCTGCTTGGTCCCCTGCCCTCATACAGCTCCTCTCCTCCAACCCCTGTATTTCAGAGCTGCCAGGAGTCACACTGCTCGGACTGCACATTCCTTCTGCATGCAAATCTGGCTTGGGAGAGCATGCTACTCACATGTCGGCTCAGCCGTGTGTCTGCCTGATGTCCATTCAGGCACCTTTAGTCGTTAATGGATTTTGACCACAGTCTGTGATCAGATCCAGATGGCAAACAGATTCTGGGACATGGAGAGAGTGGATCCTAAAAATCTGTGCAGGATTACTTGCTTAGTCTGCATTGTTCCTCCACAACACCTGCTTCTAATCTCTTTCAGCACCCCTTAAACCAGAAGAATTATGTCTATTTTTAAAACTTGATAGCACAATATTCTCGGTGTACTGGAAGACTAAATCAGCCACGTGCTACTGGTGCTGGAGTATCAGGTCTGTGTGCTGGGCAGCAGAATGAGCTCCGCACAGCTGGCTTGTCCAGAGGGAGAGCAGCATTGTAGAATCTGAGTGGTACTTTTCTCCTTGTTACTCAAAGTGGAAATGGCTTGTTTCACTTGATTTGGTGATAGTGAGGTACGTTCACTTCATGGGAAGGAACGTAGCTAGATATTGTTCCTTTTACTGCCATGTCATCCTTTGTTCTCACTGTGTGTATGTGTGTGTGAAGAGACAGCACAGCGTGTGGGCAGAACTGCATGTTGCAAGCCTGTTTTCAGACTGTCCGCTGGAGAAGGCTGCTGCTGGCAGTTTGCATGCTTTTGTCTGCTTGTGTGCATGAATGGTGAAGGATGAATGAATCTGTGAGTGTGTCATTGTGTGCCTACATTTTTTCTCCATATGTATATGGGTATCCATACACTGATTTGTGCAGTGAGAGCACAGCAGGGAGGAATCATGCTTCTGTTTCTTCTTACAGTTACTCTGTCTTACTCCCTTCCCATCCTATCCCTTCCATGCGTTGATGCTGATGTCAGGTGAGTCTAACTGCTTGCTTTTGGTGTGAAAGTGACAGATACAACAACACAGTTCTAACCTTTCTCCTACAAAATTCCTAATCAAAGCACATCCAGCTCTGTTACATAAAAGTCTAACATTCTTCTGGGTCAGAACAGTGCTCTGCAGTGCTCTGTGACAGCAGCTTATGCCCATGCCTTGGAAAGAGGAAAAAAAGGAGAAGCTGTACTGTTGCCCAAAGATGCTCTCCTATCTCCGTGGTTACAGGGATTCTTGATTCCAAGCTGGAATCTTTGTGTTTAACAACCCTCGAGGAATTCTCATCAATAATTTGTCAAACTATTTTTGTAACCCAGACATTATGTGGCTTCTGCAGTGTCTCACAGCAGCAAGTTCCACTGTTTAGCCATACACGGGATGCAGAGTCATTTCTTTTTGTTTACTGTTATTTTATTGAAAGACTGTGACCAATCATTCTTTAATCACCTTTTATGTGACACCTGCAATTTTATGCTTTCTTTCCATTGTCCTCCTTCTGCACAGAAGGGCTCCAGTCTTTTTTGTCTTTTTTTTTTTTTTTTTAATTAGGGAAACAATCCCATCATTAAATCATCTCTGTCAGCCTTTACCATACTTTCATTTGTCCTGTTGCTTTCAGTTCTATTATTTATGTAGTTTCAGTGAGTGCTAGATTTTGACTAGAAACAGGGCAGTCCTTCCCACCACACCAGCTTACATCTTGCTCTGCCTCTATCCAGTTCTGCTTAAAGCTCTTGTCCCATCTCTGTCTCCATCTGGCTGTACAGGAAGGGCTGCCCTTCTGCATGTGCTGGTTTGAGCCAAACACGGCTGCTGATTGATCTGTTCACATGGGGGACTTTGTGCTCCAGGGCTGGCAGTCCCAGGATGCCTGTAGCAGGGCAAACATACCAGGAGTTTGCAACCTGTCATTCAGCACTAGGAACGTGAATTATAGCCCTGCTCTTTAAGGAAAGGCTGGCAGTGCAGCTCTGCCTGTCAGCTGAGACACCCACCTGGTCATGAGCTCTCCTGGTGAATGAATCAGGATTTGGCATGTCATTGTTTAAAACAGCCTCCATGCTAATGTCTTTTTGAAGTGAAACTGAGAGGGCTGTTAACCTCAGTTAGCCAGTTGTCCTCACCGTGACCTGGATAAATCATCATAGCAGAGCTCCAAAGAACATGGCTCTCATTGCTCTGGAAAATGGAGCTGCAGGGAAAGGACTGTGATTTCAGTTTATAGGTGCAAGGAAGGGTTCCCTGCCTTCCTTCCCAGGATTGTACAGCAAAAGACTGGTGTATTGCCATATGTAGCAGAAGTGCTAAGCCATGGCTTGAAGCAGTGATTGAGCACCTGGTGGGGAGCAGGGCAGCCCAGGGGAGCTCAGGTGCATGCAATGTACCTGATTGAAGGAAGGGCTGGAGCCAGCCTCCACCCCTTCCCAGACCTCATTTAAGGGTTGGCAGTGAGGGTGTCTTACTGAAGATTCCTGTCTATCTGAGGTCTTCCACAGGTAAGCAGCTTTTTCTTCCTTTGTGTGTCCATGGCTGCTATGTTTGGGCTTTTCCTCATTTGTTGCAGTCTAGGATTTTGCTACCCTGGTGTTGCTGCTGTGCTTTCCATTGCATTAGAGCATGCCAAGAGCCCTGCTGGTGCTCCAGGCTGGGCATCAGGTCTTAGAGAGGTCCATTCCCTTCCCTGAGAGCCATTAAAGGCGTTATGGATTGTACTGTGGCTTGTAGAGAGGCAATTTGCTGTACCTGGGAGTGGGTGAGTTTCCAAGAAGCTGCTGGGATGTCTCATCATCTAGCCCCAGCTTATGACCATGTGGGCGCTGGTGCAGCACCAGGCTTCCAGGTACATTCTTTTTAGTTGAAGGCTGGGCTTTCTCCAAAGCAGTCTCTACCTCTGAGCTGTCCTTCTTTGTGGTGGAGAAGGATACAGAAAGGACAGTTTCTCCAAGAGGAGACAGTGCTGTTCTGGGCCATCACATGCTCTGGGGTAGTTTTGTGCAGCAGGAGCACCACATCACATGCTGCTCTCAGAAGAACACCCTGCTTTCATGTGTCACACTGACTGCTTAAACTGTGGTCCAAGTTTCTCCTTGCCAAAGCAATGCCAGGTTCTTGTGAAGGGTTAAGAAGATCTGCTACAGTGTCTGTCTAGGCCAGTGTGTCTTTATCAGAGCCAACATCAGCAGCTGTAGAGAAAGGTGCAGGAAATTTACAGCAGGTGGTTCAGAGCAGCTCGCTCCAAAGGCTGATTTGGAGATTGGCTCATTCTCAGCACAAGGCACTTCTCTCTGCAAAGAGCTGTTTTGACTCTGGGAGCTGTTATCTGTGCAGAGGCCTCATTACTTTATCTCAGAGGGCACTCATAGCTGCTGTTTCATTGTGTGGCAGTGAGTTCCACCAGACAGGTTTTCTCTTGTTTCTAATCTGGCTGAATTTTCTTTTTCTCTCCAGCGTGACTGTGAAAAATCACAACACCAGCTGCACATAAGAAATTCCTGGAAAGAAGAACAAAGCCAACTGTTCTCCATGTCCACGAAGGCATGCCCAAGAACTAATGGGTGTATCCTACATCGAGAAAGATTCAGGTTAGGAACAGCTTCTAATGGAGAGGAGAACAAAGCAGGCAAACAGACTGCCAGGGGCCCAAGGATTCTGCATCACAGGGGATCTTCAAGGAGAGACAAACAGAAGAAAAGGCACCTATAGGTTCCCTTGTCATAGAACTGCAAGATGGGCCATCAAGCTCTTGAGATTCGTGCCAGCCTTGCTCAGTTTCTAAACCCAGCTTTGTTCATACCCTGATACTCATCTGTCTTCTTCAAAGCCCCACCATAGTCTCCTTTAGCACTTATGTGCTATCAACTTGCCAGGGTGATTGTTCTTCCTAGGAAAGTGACTGCGCTTGAGTCTTGGATGGATGCTTGCTTTCTACTGTGGTTCACCTGACCTCCATGAGACTCAATGCCTGCTTTGTGTTGTAAATGGTGTCCCATCTTGAGATGCATTGCCCACTTCCTGTGCTGGATAGTAACATTGATCTGTGGGAGTATTCTTCCCTCTTCCTTGGAACCTCATTCTTATGCTTCTGCAGGCTTGTTCATAGGAGACTGGCTGAGGAGCACGCTCACTGCTGTTTTCCCAGGTAAATTCAGCCTTGCTTGTCTTCCTCACTACTGGTGTTCCTTCAGCTCTCTCCTCAGGGTACAGGGTTCTCTTTGTACTGATGCTATGGATTGGAGGAATGCACAGAGTCTGTCCTCTTCTGGCTCTCTGGAAGGACAAACAGGGCTGCCTGATTCCTTGTCCAGAAGCCTTAGCGCTCACCTACGTATACTGGGTTGATGACTTGGTGCTCCTTCCTCTGTTCCACAACATGCCGCTGCCTGGGATGGTCCAAGGTAGACATATGTTTCATAGGATGAGCAGGGGTCTCAGTGCAGTGGGCTTGAGACTTGGTGCCAGGGCCTTAACTGAACTAAGCAAGGATCAGGCAATTGTGCTGCTCAACAAAACTGCACAGCTGACAGTCTCTGAGCTGCTCGTCAGCAATACATCTAGCTATCTGAGACACTTTAGCTGGGGCTGGTGGGTGCCTTGTTCCTCGAGTCGCTCTCAGGAACTTGCACGTGGGAAGAAAGCTGGATTTTCTCCTTTTTACTACCTCCTTATCTGGCCATAGGTTACCCAGTAGTCAGAATGCATGCCTTAACACATGCTGAAGAGAGCAAGCAGAGCCTGGAGGATGTTGATGGATGACAAAATCTCTGATACATACATCTGTAAGACATGTGCTGCTGTGCCTCGGGCTTTGGTCTGAGCATTGCAGTTCCACCCTTGGTAATAAACATATGAGTAGATGAAGCAGAGATGGGAGTATAGATTTGCTATCAGAAACTTTGGATTTAATTTCCATTCTTAGCTGTGTGCAATTTCCTATATGTGCTGCTTTGCAAATGAGTTGCACAATAGCTATCAAAGACCACCTAGAAACAAGGTCAGCTTGATGCCACTTAGTTCTGCTGCGCAGTGGTGAATCCAGGCCAGGTGAAGGTGTGGGTCGGACCCGTGGAAAGGTCTCATCTATGCTCCCTGATGGCTGTATGAACCTATTGCTCTTTGCCTGCTTGGTGTTTGAGTGTAATTGTGGTGCTGGGGAAGTAGAATTGCCTGGCTATCAACAGTTGACCTACCTGGTCTCAGTAACCAAAAGTGGTGCAGTTTTCTCAGATGCTGCTCGCTCACGGAGCCCTACACCTGTCTGTGGGGCAGCAGCCACTTGGATCATAGGTCCTCAGCAGGAGGGAGGAATTGGTGCATGCATACCATACACCAGGACACAAAGCAGCTCCCACACAGACACCCCAGCACTGCCAGTAGCTTCAAGGGGGCTAGAAACACAGTCACAACAGCCAGTGGGATCTGAAAGTGACAGGGCAAGATGAAATGTATGATGTGTGCAGACACTGAGGAGGAACCCCACCAGGCACCTGGGCTTGAGAGCTGGCTCCACAACACAGATGTTAGAGGGAATAAAGGAAATGACAGAGGATCAACTGGTCTACAAGGCTGGTTTCTCTCCAGGAGAAGGAGAAGTCTTTGGGGCTGTGGAGAAATGGGCAACCCCCAGGCTATGAGGTTAATACAGAGCCACGGCTGTTTGTATAGCTGCAGAGCCTTTAAGAGAGACTTGGGGAAACTAGCTTGGATTCCAATGAATATTTACAATTACACTGCTCCAAAGTGGAATCCAATCACATCACTGCAGCATGCAGTCTTTGTGTATTAAAAGAAAATGAGAGGAAAGCAGAAATGATGGAGTCGCAGAGCTGCCTTTGGAGAGACATCCTGCTTGTGACAGAACTAACATGCTTTATTTCTGATACAAGCAATTCATTCTTTGGGCCTTTTGCTTGATATTAAAGTTCCTTGTTTGTTTGTTTGTTTTTTTAAGTGAGAGTTTTCAGTAGATGGTCTTCAAATCAGAGGGAAAGAAATAGGAAGTGTTATAGTCCATGATTCTGATGTTGCACTGACAAACTGGAAATAAGGGAGCATTTCCAAGCTAGAGTGGAGATGCTCCCCCCACTTTCCACTTGCTGAGCCTGAGGTTACCACGTGCAAGAGGCCTGGACAGAGCTGCCCTTGTTAAAATCATGCTCCTAATATGACATTTGAATGATCACCAGGCTCTGCCATTAAACAAGACAGTCTAACAGAGGAAGAAGCAGAAAATGCTGGATAAATGTTCATTGAAGCTCATTATTGGCCATTTTTTTTCCAGCACAAGATAGAAAAATGTGTCAGGGTATCACTGCACGCAAAGAAAATGGAGGATTTGTGAGTGTAAGACCCCTGTAGAGAACTGTATGCAGCAGAGTAGGAAGTGTGTGGCCAAGCAGAGGTACTGCTCTAGTTGACAAAAGGGACAGCACCAAAAGCTTACCCCACTGTACTCCCAGCTGATCAGCTCTTCTGCATGGTGCCAGGGCAAATCAGCTTGGGCTCTCCTATGCCTTGTGTTGGCAGATGGGTAAGCTTAAGAAAGAGCTGTACTGATGGAAGGGGTACTCATCTGGATGCCTTAAGACCTATGGTGCAACCATCCATTCATACACTGCGAGGTTTCCCACAACTCTGACACGAGGCAAGCAGTTGTGGAAGACAAGTAGGAGATGAGACAAAAGCACAGGTCAGGATGAGGATGGAAATCATTCTTTTTATTCAGACATTGCATGGCATGCATCAGGCATGTTGCCACAACACGGCCACAGCACCAAACAGACTGTGAATAACTCCTGGCTTGTTGCGGTCTTGGAGTACAAAAACACCACTGCTTTTCTTTAACTACAAGTATTTAAGGTATATCCTTCCATTCTGTCATGCAGATGTTCTGAAGCACCACGGCAGCATCAGAGAAGGTGCTGTGTGAGAAGGCACGTAATGACTGAAGCTGCAAGGATGTGCGCTTAGATTTACCCAGGGCGCACTTACAAGCACACCTGACATGGAACAGTGACATCTGAAGGCCCAGCCTGCTCCCTCCCCGTGGTCCCAGCAGGTGGCATGTCTGCACACCTGAGCGGAAGACAGCATGGTGCTGTTTTCAGACTGTGCTAATCCCATCGTGTTTTGAAGATGATGTGTTTCCTATTGCCTTTCACCTTGGGACTGCACAGATCCCTTCTGCTGGATGGCAATCTTAGAGGATGCTGATGGGAAATCCCAGGAAGCTGCTCTCTGATCTAAGTCATGCTGCTGGCAGAGGGAAGTCTCTGACACATGCAGGCATGGCACAGGGTGGTCCCTGCTGCCTGGCACATACTGCAGTTGATAGCCCTCAGCAGGAACTTGCATTCAGTATTATACTGTCTAAGAGGCTTAAAATTGACTGTGAAGCTTCAGTACAACTACAAAAAAAATCTTGTTTTCAGTTTCTCCTATGGTGGATTGCTCCAGAATGAGACAGAGCAATTTGGTAATTCATTCCTGGAGTATGCACTGGAGTATTTGGAATCAGATTATGGAATATGAAAAGCAGTCATTCATTTGAACTTCCCTTGTGGGAATGGTAGCTGCCCAGACAAATTCTCCATGAAGATGGGAAACGTGACAGAAATCAGAGTGCTGCGGAAAAAAACAGAGCAGTTTCTAGTGTCATAATAGGACTTGACAAATGATGCTGTCAGAATAGGACTGGGCGTAAGAGTCCATTGAAGCCACCAGCCCAGGAGTGGGAATGGCTATGGAGAGCCACTGCAGCTTTCCCATTGCTGTATGTTTCTTTACACTTCAGCCTTCCTCACCCTTGCTTAAGCATTGTGCCTTGCTCTGAGCTGCTCCAATGGGCAGAACTCAGGAGCGTGCTGGCTCAGATGGCCCTCGCTCAGTGCTGCACAACCCCCTTAGCTGTACAGAACATGGTGCCTCTGGTCCCCGCCTTCTCCCCAGGGAACCACGCAGTCCAGCATGGTTTCTCCTGCTTTATGTCCGCCCCGCACACTGTTGTCACTGCAGACAGTTCAGCCACTGCTGATTGTGCCCTCTGAAAAAGGACTAGCACTATGGCTGAACTGAATCCTGATGTGGCGGCGCAGAGGGGTCAGTAGCACAACACTGCAAGTCCCTAATCCTGACTTTCTGGATAGAGACGCTTGGAAGCAGAGAGCAAACTGATACAGAGACAGTGCAGGATGTGTCAGGATGAGTCCTTGCACATGACCCTGGAGTACTGAAGTATGAACAAGTGTTTGCAATTAGCTGCAAGCATGCATTGCTCCCCACCTCATCTCTGACAGCGGCCAAGAGCTGTCATCTCGGACGGCGCGAGAAGACACAGCTACTGCACACCGCCCAGAACGCTGCGACGTGCAGCTCCGAGGCCTCAGAAGCAAAAACAAGGTCTTCTACATAGAAGTACTGCAGGGGGATTTTTTTCTCCCATGATGATACTTAACCTCTTTTTGAATGCACATAAACCTCGATGACCCACCGCATCCTCTGCTAAGCAGTTTGACACAGCATAGGGCATATTTATTAAAAAAAAAATCTGCTTTTTGTTTTGTAGTCACTACCTGCTTATTTATGGAGGCACTGATGGTTCTTATATCAAAGGGACAATGAGAAATCATACTGCAGTCAAACTCTGTATGCCAAACTTGATTTTATAATCCTGTCACACTTCAGCCATCTCTTCTCTGGGCTAAAGAGACTTTCTACTTTTCCTCATATGGAAGATATTCTTTGTATTTGATCTGCCTTGTTACTCTTCTCTGAAACCCTTCCAACTCTGTTTTTCTTGAGAGAAGCCAACCAGAGTTCCATATGGTAATCACAATGCAGTCTCCACTATGGCTCTGTTCAGTGGCATGTATCTGATCTGCTCTCCGTTATTTTCCTAATAATTTTGAACAGTCAGTTTGCCTTTTGGAATGCTCCTGGACACTGAGAAAATATTTCCATACAGACTGACAGGGACAGTTCTATCTGGTTTTATTTCCTTTCTCCCCAATCACTTCGTCCTGAAGAGGGAACAGCTACAGTACCTGGAGCTGCAAGCAAAACCTCACAAGAAAGAAAGTGCAAATGTCCCAGAACTTTTGCAGGGTTAAGACCACCTGGCAGCATCGCATGTCTTCAAAATCA